GCAGAGATGTTGATCGCTATAAATCAAGGAGAGATGATTACTATTAGGTGCTTTGGAATTCATGCATGATAATCAGTCCCAGTGGGCATTACCTAGGAAATGGTTACCGATCAAATAGCATCTTGAGGTGGTTGGAAGAAAGAGAGGCTATTGCCAGGATAAAGTTGTCTGAAGCTTGCTTGAACTAGGTTTGGATTGGTTGAGATTGATCAACCAACATAGTTTGGGGTTCTATCTTCCAAATTAGATGGGCCTTGCCCATAGATGTAGGCATAGTGAGTTTGATAGGGTTTGAGATGAATTAGATTGGGTCAAAGGAGTGCAGAGCTTGCATAAACCCCACAATCTATTAATCCTACAAGAAGGTTAGGAAAACTTTTTTTGAATTTAGTTAGATTGGCCGAAACCATACATAGCTAATTTCATTGGGTTAGGCGTGGTGAATTATGGCATGATTTCCTAAACTCAAAATGGTGGGTGATGTTATTTCGTTGGGCTAGGTCAACATAGAGCTGTGGACCTTGATTATTGTATAAGCTCGATAGTTTTTAGATCAAGTCAATCATATTAGACAACTTATTTATCTACTGACTAGATCTATAGGCAAGGGTTGGGCTATCACCTCCTTTTGATTGGCGAAAAAAGTTTAGTTTCCATCATCAATAGCAACTTAAAACCATGATGATGATCCAACATGTAGCAAATGAGATTGGTGGGTCGGTCATTAAATGCACCCCTTGCTTGTATGTTGTATCAATGTAATTATTGTGCCATTGTTGGTCATAGGTAGTAATGCCCACACTCTAAAGCACCTATGATATCTATACCAATCTTAAGATTAATTAATATAATTAATGACAAATTAGGCTTATTTAAATTAAAAAATTGTTAAGCATGGTTTTTGTTTGAGTCTTAATCTTGATTGAGAGATGTCATGACATAATATATATACAATAGGCAGTTCTTAACACTTATTTATTTTATAAATTATAATATTTATATTTTAGATCTGTAGGGGTATGGAGACCAAGGAATAGGGCCCTCGCAAGATGTAACGCAAGCGAGCTACAAGAAAGGGCCAACGAGTGGCGAGCTGATGCACAAGAGCAGGAGAGGGAGACCTTGCATGAGGCAAAGAGAGCCATTGAGCAAATGAGCTGGCAAGCCTTGGCTTGGGATCGAGTGCGTCACATAAACTGCAACAGATGATGATGGTGTTCAATTCTGCTTTTAGGGCTTGAGAGTGAAGGCAACGGAAGGAGCAAGTGACTTGTGATAAGATGGAAGAAGAGATCCAGGACTCTTCTTCTTCCTCCCCATCCTTAGTGTAAACCATGAATTTATGTTTCTAAAAATTTGTATGTGATGTTGTTTGATGATCATGATCTAATCTACGTAGGATGCAAAATCTTTGTGATGGTTAGATAAGATTTAATAAGGAAATTTGGGATCCAATGATGTTATCATACTTATTGGGAGGCTATAGGTGGAAGATGCCCAAGAATTCTCCGAAGTAATTATGAAAATGTTTTATGAGTGTGGAAGGCACGCAAAGGGTAGTGCCTTGGAGACTCTAATGTATCCTATTGGTGTTGCCAACTAGGATATAAATCGAGAGATTGCCCCAATTTCTCTTCCATTAAATTTGAGGACATGGTGAGCATCACCTTAAATAAACTGTTATGGAATGTCCATTAACAGGAGTGGGAAGCAGAAAGCGGCAGCGTCCAGTCCATTAACTTCAAGTTAGGACCAAGTAAGACACCATGTGGAATCATGAGTTTATGTCTTGACTTAATGGGAAACTAAGGAATCGACCAATTTTGTCAAAGTTATATTCTCATTCAAGATAGATTTGCTAGATTATTGTCTGATACATGAATATTCTTTTTTATTAAAAAATTTGTTAAGATATAATTTAGTTGAATCACACTTGCATGCTACATTGTCAGTTAATATGCCAAATGAATCTCATGCCAATGATAGTTTTATGTGCCATGTTAATCTGGTGATTGGTGAGAAGAGTTTTAGAGTGATCTTAGTTGTATTGTCCTTATTCGTATTTGACGCAATCTTATGAATGAGCTGCCTATCTAGCCATTTTGCATTTGTAGATTGTGTAAGATGGTAATCATGTTCAATCTCCCTAGAAAAGAACAATTCAAATTCTATGAAGATTGAGGAATATCTTTAAAATAGTCGACTTAAGGGGTTTTAGCTCTGGTTAGAGATATGACGAAGTAGCTCAAGAATTTGGAGGAAGTTTCAGTGTCAAAGAGTACCCATAAATTTTTCTAGATGAGTTATAGTTTTAACAATTGACTTGCAATCAGGTTTAACACCTGTGATGAGGGCACAACATCGAATGATAAGGAGCTTTGAGATTTGAAGAATTGAACAAGCTCACAATTAAGAAAGAAATGTTCTTTATCTAGGATCGAAGATCTATTTGAACAACTCGAGGGAGCATCTCTAAAATTGACTTGAGATTTAGTTATCACCAGTTGCAAATAGAGATGAAGTTGTGGATGAAATATATGGTAACCATAAGTTTGTGGTGATGCTTTTCAAACTAACGAATGCCACTATGCATTTATATGTTATGAACAGGATCTTTTAGCCATTCCTTGATTTGTTTGTTATTATTTTTTAATGATATCCTTATTATTTGATGAGCGAAGCAAGCCATTTTAACCTCTTTCATGTCGTACCACAAGCATTCTGAGGCAATAACTTATATGATAAATTCTCTAGATATGAGTTTTTGCTGAAGAGTGTTGCTTTTGTAGGTTATATAATTAGTGGTGATGGTATTAATGTAGATCAGTGGAAGGTTCAATCCATTGTTGATTGGATGAGATTAACTACTGTTATTGAGGTAAGAAGTTTTGGGTCCTTGCTAGTTACTATAAGAGATTTATTGAGGGTTTCTCCCAAATTGTGAGGCCATTGTCTAGATTGACAATGAAGGCAATAAAGTTTTTGTCAAGTGATCAGTTTGAAGAGGCTTTTTACAGTTCAATCTGTCTAATTATTGCTCGTGTTGATTATTCCCTTTGGCATTATAGGGTCTTAAATTTTTAGTGATGCATCATTAAGAAGTCTATGGTGTGTTTTGATGCAAAATGACCACAGAGAAGGGCGGATATGACTTAGAAAGAGCCATTTCCATTTCTAACAAATATCATTGCCATTTCTAGATTTTTTCCCACCAAGTCATCAAACCCGAAGAAAAAACTTCTATACTCTGTAAAAAAAGAAAGACTGACCTTTTGTTTTCAGAAAGAACAAATGAAGATTGGCTGTAATCAATCGATCATTGAGGTGGGGGAATCTTTGCATGGTGATGCTCAGTCGTTCCAAAGGGATATTTTTGGAATTTAAAATTCATGATTTACTATCATGAATTGACAAATGTGACCTCTAAAAATCTCCCTGTATTTGCTGAACTTATTTTACTCTCAACTGTCATTATTCGTCATTTAAACCTATATTAAGTAGATTGATATGATAAAAATTTGACTATTTACATAATCATGCATTCAAATTTGTTTATTAAGTTCACCTAAGATTTATGTTTACAGATGGACTAGAAGATGCTGACAACTATCAATGGTGTAGGCTTACATTTGCCAAGGTGATGCTTTACTGGCAATGGGAGACTTGAATGCTGCTGAGAAGGCTTATGCCACTGCTTTGGATATTGATCCATCTATTCGCAGGTCCAAATCATTCAAGGTACTACCAAATAAATTAAAAGCCGTTTTATTGTTTTATATAGGCTTATAGTTTGTTCTTCCCGGAATGCAATGATTGCATAAATAAATGACGGCAATCCTGATATTAAACTCTAGTCAATGTTAGATACAGGACTTATGATGGCCTTAGGTTTCGTTTGGGACGGCTTTCTTACTGCTTCTTAAAATAGCTTTAATTTTTATACTAGAAAGCTATTTTAAGAAGCAGTAAAAAACCGTCCAAACGAAACCTTAGTTTGAATTTTTACGGAAGCTAAGTCTTAGGATACATTGGGGTAGTTGCTATTTAACTTTTATAGTCTGTTTGAGGGTAATTGTAGCTATTGTAGAAATAGTTATGGAATTATTATGTTAAAAATAAAATTTTCAAAATTTTATTGTGATTTTTATAGATTTTAATTTTAATTTTTGAAAATTTTGTGTAAACTTTAATTCATACATCACATTTAGTAGATGTAGCTGTAAAAAATTTTGCTCACATAGAAATTTTTAATAAAATAAAAAAACTAGCGATATGAAAGCAAAATAGTGAAAAGTTGTCTCAAACGAAACTTTAGGCTTCATTTAGGGAAGCTTTCTTACTGCTTTAATTTTCAGGTCTCAATCATAATTTTTTTTATCATTGTTTTTTTTCCTTCTTCCTAAAATTTGTTATACTTAAAAGCTGCTTTCTACAACCGATTTAAAGAATTATTTTTTCTATAGCAGCTTTACAAATCAATAAAGAAATAGTTCCAAACGAAGTCTTATGTTTTGTTTGGGACGGTTTTCTTACTACTTTTTAAAATAGCTTTCTAGTATAAATTTTTTTAGTTCAAATAACTTTTGTATTAGAAAGCTGCTTTAAAAAGCAATAAGAAAATCATTCCAAATGAAACCTTATTAACTCAAAATCATAAGATTCAAACACTAATCCTTTGAAAGTTTTCATTGGCTGTGTAAGACCGAGAAGGAAAAAAAAAAACCCGTTAAGCTCCAAGTAGCTAGTGCTCCGCTCTATTGCTCTTGTTAAACTCCATTGAAGCTTTTCTCTCTTTGGCAGGCTCGAGTTGCAAAACTTAGAGAGAAGCTCCTCGTAGCGAATGCCTAATTCCTGAACTCTTTCATAAGTTGAAGAGTGAGGCTCCTGTCTGCTTCGAAGTTAGTGCTGAGGTATCGTCGGCTTAAGAAAATAAAAAAAATTGAAATGCTGTGGGTTTAAATTCTATAAATCCTATCAGGGGAATTTACGTACATGTCATTAAAATCTCTTGTATTTATGCATTTGAACTCCTGACGGATACTGAGAACTGAAAGGCTGAGAGTTCTTTACGTTTCTGTATATTGTTACTTTGTCCAAGGCCTGTAATTATGGTTTCATATTGCTGGATATTGGGAGCTGAAACTGTAGTTTACAACTAAATCACCTCAGTTGCGGAGGCTAACATTTCCTACTAAACCTGAAGCTCTGCAGATGTACTTTATTTCACTAAGGCATTGTTTGAGACGGCTTTCTTATTACTTCTTAAAGTTATTTTTTAGTACAAAAATTAAAAATTTTGTATTAGAAAGCTGTTTTAAGTAGTAAAAAAGCTGTCTCAAATGAAGCTAAGGTTTCATTTGGGGCAGCTTTCTTAATGCTTTCTAAAGCAGCTTTGTCAACAAAAATTTATACTAGAAATCTGCTTTAGAAAACATTAGAAAGCCATCCTAAATGAAACCTAAATGTCTATTTGAGATAACTTTTTGATTGTTTTATTTTTTAGATATTAATTAATATTTTATTTGACTACTGTTTTCTTACTGTTTTTTTTTTTTAATTTTTATGATGGAAATCTATTTTTTTGTAATCAGCATAGCAAGTTATTTTCTATACAATAATTTCATGATCAACTTTGGAAAACAAATACTCTAAAATTGTTGTGATAAAATGAAAAATTATTATATGTTGCAATACAGTTTTTTTTATAAGTTGCAATACATGAAGATAATTGAAGTAAATACTTGTGTATTCATGAATTTAATCTATTTAGAGTATATAGCGAGAACATAATAGTACAATAACTTTATTTAAGAAAGAGAAGCTCACAACAGTGTAAATCTATTTTGTATTTAAAAAAAATTGTACGCAAAGAATATGCAATAATGCTCAACATGGAGAGCTGTCATATATAGTAGTAGTTGACACCCTATAATGTGTTGTGATGTAGAGATATAAAACGTTTATATTTTATTAATTTAGTTTGTATTCATATAGGATACGCACAATTTAATACAATGAAATGCTTAATTACTCCATTAGGCTTAGATTGGCTGGTGGACAAGCGTGGTTGGGATTCGATTCCTCGCTCAAACGACGCGACTCTTTAAGTAGGGAGAAAATAAGTGCATGGTCCGGCATTTGTGGGGTTGGTTGCCGTTAGGCCCGTCGAGAGATCAGTTACTCAGCCAAGTGTCTCCTCTATGAGAGTGGCAGTGAGTAGATACCTCGTTAAAAAAAAAAAAAAAGCTTAATTAATTGATCACCAGAAAGCCAGTTTTCCTGCTGGTATTGAATGCCAGAAAGCCAGTTTTCCTGCTGGTATTGAGTGCAACCTACATCAATGCCTTATTTGGGGGTTTGGAAATTTCTGCTCGTCTCATTCCCATTAACAACGAGGTTGACCAATTGAGGCTTGTCATGGCATCCTATAGATCAATTAAGGCCTGTACGTCTATTGTTCTTAATAATTTGAGCTTTTTTTTGTGGCTGATTCAACTCCGTTTTCTTGCGACATTTAAATATTTCTTCTAATTAAGGTTTAGTTTGGGACAGTTTTTTAATTGCTTTCTAAAATAGCATTTTAGCATCAAAATATCTAATTCAAAAAAAATTTTAATTAAAAATTAGTTTTAAAAAGCATTAAAAGCTGTCCCAAATGCCCAAGTGAGCTAAATATGCATTGGAGAAATTTGTAAGCAAAAGTAGCTCATCTTTGATTTGTTGGCCGGAAATTTTAGCTATCAATTAAGATGTTTTAAATTCGAAGCTTACATATGTGATGTACGTGTGTATGAGTTTATTCTTAATTGTCTCAAAATTAAAAAAAAATTATGAAAGCTTATTTTCTCCCAACCGACTGACGCCTTTCTTTCAACTGTTTTAATTTTTTTTAGGTGGGACATCAAGCAGGTAGTAATGATTGAGATCCATAGTTTTTTTTATCTTGTTCACTTTTCTATTTATAGAAAATTGACATTGGGCTATTAAAGCTTTGTTTGGGACACAGTCATCTAAGCCTGTTGGTTGAGAGCTTAGACTTCCAACTAAGAGGTTTTGGGTTCGAGACTGTGTATGCGTTGTGTGTGTGAGTTTGCCTTAAATGGCTTAAATGTCCCAAAAAAAAGCTTCGTTTGGGATAGTTTTCAAAAAAAAATTGTACTAAAATATTGCCGTAGAAAGCGGTAAAAAAAATATCACAAATGAAGTCTAAGATGTGATGCCAAAGTCAGCAATACAAGTTCTCACGCATGCTAGACATAAATATTATGGGATTATGCATCTATCATGTGGAGTTATAAAATGCTAGAGGTATTTAAGATGAAATTTTTGTAGGAGTGACTACAATGCTAGCAAGAAAATGGCTTAAATATCTAAGGATGGCTCTTATTATACAATCAAAGTGTGGTGTAAACCTTGACGCTCTAAAGGCAATTTAAAGTATTTATCAAAAGATTTAGATGAGCATTTGAACTTGAAAGATCTCCTCAAATTAAAGAGACAAAATGCTTATTGTTTTTGAGAAAGCATTTTGGTACTCATTTAAATATTAGTCAACAATGAGTGATATAAATTATATCCTTTCAGATCAAAACGCGACCATATGATGCTGATCATAGCCTGACTCAATTGATCTTCTCGAACTTAGGCTGACTCAAATGATTTGATGGTGGTTTGATGATGATTTGATTTTGGATATCTTTGATAGTATATTAAATTAAGGATTTAACAAATCACTTAATAAATCCTCTATTAGAAGCACATTAGTGGTGACAACATGATTTTGTCTCAATAAATTGATCTTTTTAGCATGATTTTTTCAGCTTTTGTGACCTTTGTAATGGTAAATTAACAATGATCCAATTCTTTTGAATTGCTCCAAAATTCATACTTTGCATCAAAATTTATATTTGATCAAATGAATGTTATAAGAACCAATAGTTTTTCACAATTAAGAGGCATTAAATAGAATGATTCATGAATAAACTTATGCTTCGTTTGGTAAAGTTTTTCGTACTACTTTCTACATTAACTTTCTGATACAGAAACTTATTGAAACCAGTGAAAAAAACAGTAGACAAAAGATGTTCCAAATAAAATCATAATGAGTGACTCTAAATGAAGCTCCACGAGTCAACTACGTCGAGCTAATTCAATTTAATTTCTCAAACGATGAATCCAAGATTTTAATATTGAAAGCAAAATTACTATTAAAATACTTCTCAAATTAAGAATTATTCTATCTCAACCCTACTATTATATTGTTCTATATATGACAAAAATGCCTTTCATGGGAGGCCCCACCTTTCTATGTGCATATGAGGCTATGAGATGTATGGAGAAATTATTTTGTGCGAGACCTAACTCAATGCCATCTGGAGACCAACCATAATGTGTCACATCAACAGTACCGAGTAGTACCGAACACAAAGGTGACGTGACTGGATGACGTTCGACATCCACACAAAATAATTAATAGAGATGATGTATGGGTTCAGCATTTGAAAAGAAGCCAACATCAATTATACTATCTGCCTCCTCATGATCATATGAACAAAGTCCTGTGCATAAAGCTAATTTAATAATAAAAGCATACACACATTCATCGTTTCTTTTAAGGCCCTGAGCAGTAATACTTATCTCAGATTAAGCTCAGTCAAAATTCATTAGAAAAATGTCAACATTGCCTCATAGATCTACAAATGGATCAGACTTGAAACTCCGCCGCTGCATCCTCCGGCGCCTGGTTGCCGGGAGTCTGCGACGTCGACAGAGGTGACGCCGCAGCCGCGGCCGCGTTGATGATGTCGGACGTAGAATCATCGGCATTGGAAAGCTCCACGATCTGCCAATTCTCGACATTATCTTCATAATAAAAATCATAATCATCAAATTCATCGATGCCGACGGAGGCCAACTCGCCGACGAGGTTATGGTGAGCGGCGTCGACGAGGTCCTCGGCGCGGTCACATGTTTCCTTAAATAACTCCCATTTGTCCTTAAATCCCTGCATCGCAACGTCGCTCTCCGGCGTACGGAGGCCGTCGGAGGCTGCGCGGGTGAGTAGGAAATCCGTCGCCGCGTTGATGAAGTCGTCACAAGCGTCGCTCATTGCGTCCACGGCGCGATCCATGGCGAGGTGATTGACAATGGAGGATTGCAGAAATCGACTATGGAGATTTGGGGGAATTGATGATTCTAAATTTGAGGGAATCAAGGTTTTCGTGTTAACATCATACAATTACTCTGTATAATTTTATAGAAAGTGGTTTTATTGTGAAAATTTTCTTGATGCGGATACTCATTAATTGTCATGATAATGGCATGAGTCAGTTTCTTCCATTTAGCCGTGCAACTAATTTTGGAAAAAGTTCTGTGAGTATTTTCTGCTTTATTTGTATTATCCTATAATATAATTGATAATAAAGTATAATCAAAATCTTAGATACTGTAATTTAATTATCAAATATTTCATATTTGTTGGGAGTCGATATTTATGAATGCATATAAAGAGTTATTTGGTTTACTGAAAATGGAATGCAAAATTATTCAAATGCAGATGATTTAGAAATTTAGATGTTTAATTTGATGAAAAAATCCCCCAAAAATAACTTCGAAGAAAAAGAAATGTCCAGTTAAATTTTGATAAATTATAAATTTCCTCTATGATTCATTTTTGTTATATTCTAAATTTGATATTTTTCAGCGAGTTCTAAATACATCGCAAACTGACTCCGTTGTAGCCATCTGTCATAGAATGTCATTGTTGTTGATCGCCTTCGTCCTCTTGCCATCACCTACTATACTAACTCTCGACCACTGACCACTATCACCGGTCGGCTTTACAAAGCATTTAATTTAATTCAAACGAAATAAAAAATAATATAATGTATTTATTTTACGCATCCGAACAACTCTGAATATTTTAAATACATTGTATTTCTCCTTACATATATTACAGAGAGTAGTCTTAGGTTTCGTTTGGCACGGCTTCCTTACTGCTTCTTAAAGCAACATTCTAGCTAGCACAAAAAAATATTTTTTTTTACTAAAAAAATGTTTTAAGAAGCAATAAGAAAGCCATCCCAAACGAAACCTTAGATGGTTTGGTCACATAAAATGCTTGCCTTCTGATGTCTTGGTTA